CCAGGAGGGTCCAGTTGACCATCTTTCCCCTCATATACACGAAAGGCAAACGTGTATCCACTTTCGCTCTCGCACAGTTTGTACAGTTTTATGCCATACCTAGAGCACTTTGAGGGGATGTATTGTCTGAACCCTAATCTCCCTTATTAGTGATTCATCTATGGATAAATTTTGTTGGGGGGTATAAACATCCGACAATTTGTCCTGAAAATGGTCTAGCAGTGAGCGTATTTTATGAAGCCTATTGTAGTGGGGGTGATTTCTAGGGTGACAGAGGGTATTGACATTGAAATGTAAAAATCTCAGCAGTAACTCGTATCTGGCTCTAGGCATGGTTTGGGAGAATACTGGACTAGACATTATTGGGTTTGTGCTCCAGTATGAGCGAATCGATGGCTTCTTTGTAATCCCCATGAGCATTGTAAGAGTCCAGAATCTTTTAAGCTCTGGGACATCTGTGGGATGCCAGTCATGCTCCCTGACTGTATAGCTACCTGGATTGTTAGCAATAAATTGGGTAGCATACAAGTTAGTCTGGGAAGTAATCTCCTCCCAGATGGTATCCCCTAAAAATAGTTCTACATACTGCATTGGGGAGAAGCCATCCACATTAACATTAATGCCTGCGTTGGCACTAAAAGGGGGGACGTTGGGCTCGGCTAACTGTGGAGGTACCCAGTGCTCCTCCACATTCGGCGTAGCAGAGGAAGCACAGCTTCTTTCTTCAGCCGGCTCACACACAGATGACATGTCGTTTTGACTAGACGTGTCAGAAAACTGACCTGTGTAAAAATCTGACACAGTGTCAGTGGCATCAGAGTCTGACGCCATGAAGGCATATGCCTCCTGCCAGTTATACATAAGCTGCATGTTTTACACGCGACTAAAACAAATTACAAACACACAAAAAAAAATGTATACTTTTTTTTTTTTTTTACTAAAACAGACTAAACAGCAATTCCTAAACTAACTCCTGTCACAAAAATCTAATGGAGATTTGGGGGAAGGAAACTGACTGATTAAGACAGACCAAGACACATATTTTTAAAACAAATTTAACCCTTTAAGGGCAAAAAAAATTACAGACAGTACAAATGCACTGCTGTAACAGATCTGGCAGGGAAGGGGTTAAAGATGATTTTTATTCACTTTAGATACTGTATAAAGCTCTGGAACACTTCTGCTGCAACAAACTATCACGATCTCTGTCTCTCTCGCCTCACAAAATGCTACAGAGGAGAGAGGGGCAGAGATCACTGTCAAAGTGAGTGTTTGTAACACCCACTTTGACAGCAGCCAATTGTGAGCAATTGCGGATCGCTCACACGCCGCAGTTGGCTATTACTATCTGCCTGGGATGTCTGGCAGATAGTTACAGCGTTGTACCGGCGGGAGCAATCTTTGATCGCCTCCCGCCGCCCGTTTTACCGCTGATGGTCCTGAACCGTCAGCTGTCCTGAAGGGGTTAATCCTGTAATGGTAATTATTGCAGCTTTTAATAAACTGCAATAATTACCTTGAGGGTTAACTCCACCTCTAGTCGCTGTCTACCAGACAGCCACAAGTGGGACTTCCAGATCGTTAGGAGACTTTTGGTTGCCTAACTGACAATGGACACCCTCACGCTAAGCATGACGACATCCAGCGTCATCCAAAAGACCACAGGTAAGCATTGTATAATGCTTTCATGTGGAGGGGGGGGGGGGTACTAATATGAGTGTGGCCATTAGAACTATAATTTCCCTTTAAGGACTGTCAGAGGGGTAAGGTGTGAGAGGACTGACTAGAGAGGAAAATCAGTCTGGCTGTAGCATTCATGGTTGATACAGGAAGACAAAGTGTTTGAGAGAAGAAGATAAATTGTGGTAGAGATAAGAGGATAAAGTACAGGTATAGAATGAGGGAATGGGCAAAATATGAGTTGGAGAGATAGATTTAGACTTGAAAATGTATTGATATAAATAGGGGATACAATTTGGAAAGTAAAACAGACAAGAGGGTGAAATTGATTAACTAAACAAATATTGCGATAGTGAAGAAAGGGGAAAAAAAAGAAAATGTATGGAAGACTGAACGAAAACATAAAAATAAAAAAGAAGAAAGAAAAGAGTCCAGTTCTTGACAGTTGAAACACATATAATTTTTTAGTGGAACAACAACCAAAAAGAGCAGTTTCTGAAATACATATATAAATAAAATCACAAGAGCTAACAATCAATCAAAATCTGCATCTTGGTTAAACCTGCACACATTCTTTTTGTGTATTGTGTGACAAATAATGTTAGCTGAAAGGATGCAGCAAGGCTGGTAGCGGATAAGTGGAATTGCAAAAGAGAAATAGCGGTGTATAAGGTTCCTTTTGAGTGTGTGCAACATGACACTTGACTAAATGCGTATTTCTTTAGTAAGGGTTCTTTTCATGCATACAGATATGCTGCAATGCTGGGACTCCTAGTGTTTCTCGAGACATTTAACTGTAGGATGTACGTAAGCATTTTCTATATTCAATGAGATTAATAGCTAGCTAAATGTTGTCTTCTAATGTGTCCTCCCCATCATGTCTTTTTTTTTTGTGTTTTTTTTTTGCAGAAGACAAATAAGATTAAAGGTGTTAGAGTGGGTTATTTTCTGTACATTTATCAGCAATAAATGGCTCTCAGTTTGATTATCTCAGAGGATCTCACTGTTGTTTTGCTTTGTAAGTGGTAGGAATGATCTTCGAATCAGTTGTTAAGCATCATTACCACCCATCGGCACATTATGTCAGAACAAGAACTCAGTGTCTGCTGAATAATTTTTATCATTATAGATGTGTATTAAGAAAGAATAACTACTTTGAAAGGTAGCTAAAGTATTTCTTTCTGTCTTTAACACCTCAATGGAAACTTTTATTATTAAAGAAGTATTATTTAGTGAATAAATAATTTAAACTCAATTCACTAGCAGACTACTGCCACATTCTTTCTAGAACACATTGCTGGCTACAACAGCAGGGACAGTGTGTAATGATTAGTTATTGAAGGAATATCCAATAAGCAACTTCTGCTCACCAGGTGATATGGACCTTCAGACCTTTTTCACAAAATATTGCATATGCAATTTGTGCATTTTAATGGAGTTTGAGACTTCAGTTCAGAGATATAAGAGACTAGCATGTTATGACTGGTAATAAGGTAGCTAAGTAGTTTTTGAGACATTGAAGTTCATGGGTATTAGGAGCTAGCTATGTGACTAACACACTTTGTGTTCTGCAATACAGGTCACCAAATCCTGCTGGTTGAGTGGGAGGTAGAGTACTGTGTCTGTCACCTGGGGAGCATGGAGGTGATGCTGTAAGATGTATTCTGAAGTGTTAAGGTGAAGACAAGAAAACCGGTGGGTAAACAATCCTTAATTAATTTGGTACTGAGTAAATGTATCGACTACATCTTCCATAGTGCTCTTACAGCCATAACGCAGGCAATTCATCAAGGGAGATGTAGTCCACAACATCTGGAAAGCCAATAGTTGCCTACACATCTTCTAAATAATAATCCCTGTCCTGTTCTACTTTATTCCGTAAAACCTATTTGACATATCAGGCAAATCCTAGGGTAGGTGGAATGATGCCCAATACATTCCATCCAAATTCATCTCATATGGCTAGAAAGTCAGAACAAATTATCTCTCTTTCCCGTAATTACCTCACTCGTGAAGAGTATTGCGAGACAGGCCATCTTTTATGAATATAAATTTGTCACAAATGATTTAGTAGACTTTGTGATGATTTGATTTGAGTTGTGAGGAGTTGATTCAATGTTTATAAGCAAAGGGCTAACAAATGTTTCCAGAGGTTTTAAAAAAATAAAGGGGAGAAAAAAGTTTGCTAAATGTAATGAGCATGTCCATTTCTATACATTCGGTAACTCCCATGGGTGGTATGGGGGCAGGGGGCAGGCGAACAATTGGCCTCTAGGACACTAGTATGGAGAGGATTGTGGGTACAATACTAAACTATATCATGCAACTATATTGTGTGTGTGTGTGTGTATATATATATGATCTTGATAAAGACCCCAGCAGGGTCGAAACGTTGATTTCTTTTGCACAGAATTTGTACCATGTTTTTGATACAGTAAATACTTTTTTTCACTATACTGAAGTCCTGGTGTGCTCCCCTTATTGATTTATGTATATATATATATACATATATATATATATATATTTTATAAATATTGCATCTCAGTATTAGTATATACAACTATTAATATCAAATTAAAAAAGGGGTTGGAGTTTGCTGGTTTGGTCTCAAATTGGGCTATTTATATGTAGTCTTCTCCCCAAGGCCAAGTAAAGCCAGCCCTCCACTTGTCAAAGCAGGAGGTAACCAACTAAACTGTGTGTAGGCAAAGTGAATATATATATATTTCAGTGGCTGATAATCTGGACTTTTATAACTGTCTGAGTCTAGAAATATTTTAAAAACAGGTACTCTCTTTAATTCAGTTTTTAGTTAAAGTATGAACATTTTTATAAAGCTAGTCACAAGTATAAGCTTAGTGAAGCCCCACATGGAATTAATAAAATCTTAAATGAATAATGGATGTATATGTTAAAATTAGGTCATTGTGATTTAGAAAAATGTGTGGTGATCCTATGCAATTTTAGCAAAATATGCTGTCCTGGCATGTTGCCTACGTTCAATAGAGAGCTTCCTCTTTTGTGGAAAGCGGTTGAGAAATTCAATAAAGGATCTGAGCAATGATATAAATAGAAAAGACTCACTTTTTATTGTTTGATTGCAAAATGACAATTGCTCATGAGTTAATATTTTCTTAATATCAGCAAGAGAAAAATTCAGATTACATACACCAATGTTTGAGAATTTGCATATACACTGATTACATTTTACTCTTCAATTTTATGGGATTTTGTGAGCCTTGCAATTTCCATTCTCATGGCTTCCTAAGCATCAATGTTGCTAAGCAGTTGAGGCACTTTGGGTTGCTTTTTCCTGCCTTCTCATTTGGGATATAAGTATTCGGAGACTATTTAAAACTCATGTCAGTTACATACAAAACTCAAATATATACAAAAGAGACAACACAGACAGGATGTACTGTTTTTCTTAGCCTATATCAAATTAAAATATGGGGTACATTACATAAAATATGGAGACCATTACAAAAAATCCCCAATCTATTTTCAACATGGGAGATATACAAATAATATAATGCAGAATTGAACACATTGTTTATAAAGGGCCCATCGGGGTCTTGGATAGGAGTTGGTGGGGCTCTTATTTACCAAAGAGTGAACTGTATTCTATTTGGACTTCAGCTACATTTAGAGGAGCTTCATCAAAGGTACTCTCCACTGCCCAAATACATAAAAACTATTTGGTAGATATACCCCCAACAAAAAAACATGCATTTAAATATGCATTTTTTTACAGGGAGAATATCTAAAAACAGCATGCAAAAGCTTTTTTTTGCAGAAGACAAATGCAAGTCCTCCCTTTCTAACCCCGCCCACACTTTCCGTGGTTGTCCAATCATAGACTTCCCGGCTCAAGAACTCTTTGCAAGGCAGGTACTCTGAGCAATTGCTGCATCTTGAGATTAGCTCCACTGAAATAACCAAACCATTAAGTAACAAGAATGGTTGTCTGATTGACAGCCAGGGTGTAACAAAGTTCATTTGCAAAAGTGCCAATTTCTGTTGATAACTGCAATTTGTAAAATGAAAAATAGGACACACTCTTCAGAAATAAAGCACTTCAGCAAGCTAAAGATCTGGATTGTCCCTTTAACACAGGGTGACAAGCCTCTCCCCCATCAGGGTTTCCATATCATTTGATTTAGGGATGCTCGTAAAAATGTATATATCAGGACTTGTTTTACTGGAGATTTGTAGACCGAGTATTGGCAAAATTTGTCTTACAAGGTCCTTTTAAGGATAAAATAATGTCATTATATTCAGAACCTTGTGCAAAAATGATAAATCCCTCATTTGAATCAGCTGTATTTTTAATTAACAATGGTACAAGACAAGGAGGCCCATTGGCTCCATTATTATACATTCTGTCCATTGAACCATTAGTCATAATGATTAGGAAAATAAGAAAATATTTGGGATTAAATCAGCAGTTTATGAATAGAAAATATCCATATTTGCTGATGATGTGCTCCAGTCCCTGTTGAAGCCCTCAATTTCAATCCAGAGGTTTTGAAAGTTATAGAACTTTATGGAAACTATTCCAATTATAAAATAAATTTAAAGAAAACTCAAATTTTAGTATCTAACATAGATGAGGTTAAACTTTCTTTTCTTAAATCAAATTTTCATTTCGATTGGAATTGTCACTATATTGAATACCAACGTATTAAATTATCTTTTAATATCTCAAATTTAATTTATTGGAACTATGAAGATTTATATAGCACTACTAAAATACAAGTGAATACTTTAGAGCAAAATTGAGATTTCTTAGCTGGGATGGTGGAATACAATTAATGCATACTTTCTACAATATCAAAAATTATTCTCTAATTTTATTTGGGCAAATAAGAGACAAAGAATATCCCAAAAGATCCTACAAACAAATATGATAGAGGTGGCATATCATTTCCAGATATTGCTAAATTACATTAAGCTTGTTTAGTTACAAATGCAATAGTATGGACCAAGCCGAATATTCATAACAATGCTTGGTTCCAGATAGAACAAGAAAATAGTTCGCTAGGTAATTAAAATACAATATTTTGGACCGAGGAGTCAAACCAAATATATAAAAAAAAGTATCAAATCAATTGTTTGTCAATATGCTTGATACGCTAAAAACCTTAAAAAATAACAAGTATTTTGGATTAAATTCTTAAATAGCCCCCATTTAAATTTTCCAATATAATATGGAAGATATGGGTATGCATAATTGGAGGCAATCGGGGATAAATAGAACTGCCGATCCATTTGACTACAAGTTTACAAAATAAGTATAAAATATATAGTAGAGATACATTTCATTATTTAACAATTAAAAATCTAAATACAAAAAAAAAAATCTATGAACATTCTATGTATGGGTATCTAGATAACTAGAACTCTTAAATTATTAGATGGAGAGTCTGATGCCCAAAAAAATCCCTTCTATTATTAAATGGGATATGGATCTCAATATTTCGAATACCCCATACAAATAGTACCAAACCAGTATTCTATTTAAAAAAAAAATGTGCATTGTATCTCACTGTTAAAACTCTACCTAAAAATTATATATTGGTGGTACTTGGTTCTGTTGAAGGTTCATAGAATGTATGAAGAATATTCACCTTTATGTTGGAGATGTCAAAAAGAGATAGGTACAATACTTCATATTTGGTATATTTGTGATATTTTAAAAGATACTATAGTCGGTATATCCACTCTGATATCAGATTTAATCCTGGATACTATAGTTCTTACACCTTCACTTTTTCTATTTAATTTAGATTTTTCCTTAATGGAAAAACAAAATATATATATATATATACCTAATCACCCATATTCTTTTTGCATCTAAGATAACCACAGCTCGTAATTGGAAATCTAGCCAACCCCCTATTGTCACGGATAGCGGTACGGAGACCAGGACCCCTGTGTGCCTGATGATGATCGGAGTCAACGTCGTGGATGAAACAATCCGGGCCTGGTGCAGGGTAACCACACGCCCCGTGGTGTTGAGCACCAGGGTTTGTGTGGCTACATACCAGGGCCCTGATGCAGCTTCTGTGGATCCCAGGAACTAGGAGAAAATATGCAGACCTCCCAGGATGTGGATAGGGAAGCTCTACAGCAGATATGTATCCAGTACTAGAAACAAGGCAAGACTAGAACAGGCACCAAACAAAATAATACAAGACTAGACTAGACTAGACGAACCCAGAACCGGAGAAGGACAGAAAGCAGAGTCCAGAACATGTACACAAGACATGAGGGAAACCAGAACAAGGCATGGACGGGACAGGACTGTACATGAACTGGAAAGACAAATTAAAACAAGACAAGAGATATAAGGCAAAACAAGCGGAGACATAACTAAGTACTAACATGTGTAATACACATTGGAGATTTAGACATACATAAATGGTCAAGATGTATGCAGCCCACCACTGCGCCAAATTACTCCAATTACTGTGGGTCCTAGACTGCCTAGATATGCATGACTAAATAAACAATAATAAAACACACACAGCACTTACCTGCAAGAAAGGGGCAGAGGACTTGGAGCAACTGCCTGCTGGAAAAGGAAAGGGTGTGGCAACATAAAACAAACATTTAAAGGAATCCAAGAGACTGAGAATTCCAGGAACGGAATCCAGGAATGAACCCAGAAAGCCCAGCATAAAGAAAACCAGATATGGAATAGAGAACCAGAAAAAACAAGAAAAACTAAACAAGAATTGTAAAAAGAGTACTGGATACCAGAAGCCATAGCCAGAAATGATCCGCAGCAGGAACAGGACGTGACACCTATATGGCAAGATAAAATAAACCAATTAGAATATCAATATTCAATGGAGAATAACTTTATAGACATATCAGGAAGATATACCTCCTATCGAGACCTATGGAACCCTTGGCTTATATATAGGAATAAGGGAAACCTATCTTAGATATAAGAAATTAGAATACATTGGACAGGAAAGAAAAGGATTTAGAGAAGCGATATAAAGAAGAGAAGAAAAAAAGAATAGGAAAGGAGAAAAAAAAAAGAAAATGTTAGGGAAATTGGAAATGGGGATAATGGGGAAATAAAAGAGGAGAAAAAAGAAAAGGAAAGGGAAAATTAACCTTGGAGTTACATGACTACATATCTACGGCTCTACCCACCCGCTTCTGTAATTGTACTTAAAAAAATAAAAAGGAAGAAAAATGAAAAAGGAAGTACTGTTTAATTTTTAATATGTTTTGCATCCCTTAATATCTGTATGATTAGCAGTCGCTGGTATGCTAATGGGACCAACTGGGTGCAGTTGCTAGTGGACCCAGTCATTCTACACTATCTGCATTTAGCAACACTGGTAGCAAAAGTCTTTCATCCTGATTTCATCCTGATTTACTTTCAGGTGCAGTCTAGAAGGACTGTGGAAACGGGAACATGTGCAAGCTGAATAAGAGAAAACCCCCATCTGATGGATAAACTGTCATAGGAATAAGAAAGTACACCCTCTTTCAATTCTATGGACATAATAACAATTGTCTGTTCCGTAGCAGGTTAATAAACCCTTCTGTTACTTACCTGGGTCCAGTGCATTGGTCCCTCGGTGCTGGCTCAGCTCCACCAACGATCCACCACCGCCAACATCAGCCGCAATGGCCGTGCTCGCATTAGGATTTCCCCATAGGAAAGGATTGAATAATTCCGGTGACGCTTAAGCTGTCGGAAAGATGGACTCACAGTTGACTTTAGAATACTTGGGTATAGAGAGAGGTTCATGGTCAATTCAATGATTGCAAGCTTCCCAGGTCCTGTGTCTGCAAGACAAGCCCCAATCATCACTACTCCATCACCATGCTTGAGAGTTGGTATGCGGTGTTTGTGCTGATATGCTGTGTTTGGTTTTCTCAAATGTGGCCCTGTGCATTATGGCCAAACATCTCCACATTGGTTTCATGTGTCCAAAGGACATTGTTCCAGAAGTCTTTTGGCTTTTTTACTTGCTGTCAAACCCTTCCACACAAACCATACTCGTTCACTCTTTTCTAATTGTACTGTCATGAACTTAAACCCCTTAAGGACCAAACTTCTGGAATAAAAGGGAATTATGACATGTGTCCTTAAGGGGCTAAAGAGACACTATAGTCACCTAAACAACTTTAGCTTAATGAAGCAGCTTTGCCTCTGAAAGTTCACTGCTCAATGCAATGCTATTTAGGAGTTAACTCCTTAAGAACTCAGGGCGTTCTATGCCGTCCTTATTTAGATGGCTCTAAATGCCGCAGGGCGGCATAGAACGCCCTGCTATCTTTTGTACTTACCCGGTCACCGGCGATCCCACGCCAGCGAGTGGTATGGGGACTTAACTGGGAGCCCAGGGAGTCCCCCTCCGTCCTCTTCGTTCCCCTCTGGGCCATGTGATCGCGAGGTCCTTGAGAGGACCCCGCGATCACATGGACGGCATAGCCGTCCAAGGCATTGCCAGCAGGGGTAGTGCCTGTAATGACAGGTACTCCCCCTGCTGCCTGGAAATAAAATTAAAAGATGTTAAAACTGTGTAAAAATAAATAATATATACATAATTATATATATATATATATATATATATATATATTTATATATATATTTATTATATATATGATCTAAGTATATATATATATATACACATATACACACATACACAAATACATATAGACTGTCTACGTGTATTTTAATATTAATATATACATAATTATATATATATTAATATCAAAATACACGTACAATGATATTGATTAAATATATAATTTTCATTATATATATATATATTTATATATAATAAAAAATAAATCAATATGTTAAAAATAAAATAAAAAAAATAATAAAAAATATATAAAAAATATATATACATGCGTAATTTCGTTCTAACTGTGTTTTAAAATTAATATATATATTGATATCAAAATACATGTAGAATGAAATAATATATATATCTATATACATAAGTATATATGTATATATCACTATATATACAAATAAAAATAATAAAAAATTATATACATATATATATATATATATATATATATACACACATATATATATATATATATATATATATATATATATATAATATATATATATATATATATATATATATATATATATATATATATATATATATATATATATAATTCTACGTATATATTTATGTAATAATTTTACATAATTAGGTCATTTTATTAATTACAATTTGCAGGACCTGCCTGACAACCCAGGCCGAAAGTTTAGGGAATTAAATTTTCTAGCACTATATTTAACCCTGTAACTTTCCAAGACACCATAAAACCTGTACTAAGGGGGTACTGTTTTACTCAGAAGACTTCGCTGAACACAAATATTAGTGTTTCAAAACAGTAAAATGTATTACGACGATATCGTCAGTGACAGTGACATTTTTTGCATTTTTCACACACAAATGGCACTGACGATATAATTGTTGTGATACGTTTCACTGTTTTTAAACACTAATATTTGTGTTCAGCGAAGTCTCCCGAGTATAACAGTACCCCTCATGTACAGGTTTTATGGTGTTTTCAAAAGTTACAGAGTCAAATATAAGGCTTGCGTTTCAGTTTTTTCACATTAAAATTCGCCAGGTTGCCTTTGAGACCGTATGGTAGCCCAGGAATGAAAATTACCCCCATGATGGCATACCATTTGCAATAGTAGACAACCCAGGGTATTGCAAATGGGGTATGTTCAGTCTTTTTTAGTAGCCACTTAGTCACAAACACTGGCCAAAATTTGCGTTCAAATTCTTTTTTCGCATTTTCAAATATTAACACTACTTTTGGCCAGTGTTTGTGACCAAGTGGCTACTAAAAAAGACTGGAAATACTCCATTTGCAATACCTTGGGTTGTCTACTTTTGCAAATGGTATGCCATCATGGGGGTAATTCTTATTCCTGGGCTACCATATGGTCTCAAAGGCAACGTAACCAATCTGGCGAATTTCAATGTGAAAAAACTGAAATATGTAACATGCTATATTTGACCCTGTAACTTCCCAAAACACTATAAAACCTGTACATAGGGGGTACTGTTTTACACGTGAGACATCGCTGTATACAAATATGTGTATGTTACTGCAGTAATAGCAAACAGTATTTTGACATTCACAGTTCAAATGTCACGTAGAACTAAAAATTTTTTCAAAATTCTTATTTTCTCCCATTTTATATTTTTTTCATATTAAATTATGCTCCATACCTACATATTTGATGTTAAACGAAATCCCTGTTTCCCCTGAATAAAATGATATATAATAAGTGTGGGTGCATTTAATATGAAAGAGAATTACGGTTGGACAGACATACAGCGCAAATGCCAGGTTTTGTTTACGTTTTGTTTTGATCACAACTTGTACATTTTGCTGCAGTCTTAAGGGGTTAAATTACTTTTGTTTCTGTTTATGAAGTCTTAGCCACACCCACCCTGCCTGTGACTGACACAGCCTGCATGAAAACAGAATGTTTTATATTTATCAGATGTAACTTACTTTAAAAGTTTCCATCTCCTGCTCTGTTAATTGAACTTTAATCACCCACAGGAGGCTCCTGCAAAGTCTTTCAAGCTCTTAACCACATAGTGACCAGACCGTTTTTCAATTTTCTTACCGTTAAGGACCAGGACTGTTTTTACATTTATGCGGTATTTGTGTTTAGCTGTAATTTTCCTCTTTCTCATTTACTGTACCCACACATATTATGTACGGTTGTTCTCGCCATTAAATAGTCTTTCTAAAGATATCATTATTTTCTTCATATAATAATTTACTATAAAAAAAAAATATAAAATATGATGACATTTTTTTTTTTTAAATACACCTTTTCTAACTTTGACCCCCAAAATCTGTTACCATCTACAACCGTCAAAAAACACCCATGCTAAATAGTTGCTAAATGTTGTCCTGAGTTTAGATATACCCAATGTTAACATGTTCTTAGCTTTTTTTTGCAAGTTATAGGGCAATCAGTACAAGTAGCACTTTGCTATTTCCAAACCATTTTTTTTTTTTTAAATTAATTTTTTCAAAATTAAGTTACACTGTAACACTGATATCTGTCAGGAATCCCTGAATAACCCTTGACATGTATATATTTTTTAAATAAGACAACCTAATGTATTTTGATCCTTTTCATGCAACCATTTTACCACCAATCTATGCCAAATTAAAAAAAATATATAATAATTGGTGATTTTTTTTGACACACATAGCAATTTAAGAATACATGTACTGAGAACTTCAAGGGTTACTGCAAAAGAACACCCCAATATGTGTTCAGCGACATCTCCTGAGTACAGTGATATCCCCCATGTATAGGTGGGCTAGAAGACCTTATTTGGAGGGTGCGCATTCCAGTTTTCTAACTTGGAATTTTCGCTGCTGGTCAACATGCACCCATGTCCTATTTGGGACATTTTTGACACCAGTCAATGTAATTTACCCCCATCAACCCATATATTTTTGAAAAGTAGACACCCTAAGGTATTTCAAATGGTGGTATTTTAACACTTTCCATGCACTAATTCTAGCCCCAGTCTTTGTCAAACTTTTGGGTAGTCACTTTTTTGTGTTATTTTTCTCTCACATTGTACTTTAGGCATGGATTTTCCATTCCTTTTATGTGTTACTGACAAAGAACACCCAATATGTGTTCAGCAACATCTCCCGAATATAACAGTACCCCCAATGTACAGGTTTTATGGGTTTTTGCAAACTTACAGAGGTCAAATGTAGGTCTTTCCCCTTTTCCATGTTTGCACAT